TCCCCCCCTGAAGCCTTCCTGCCTCATGCTACTTGAACCCCTGCACCCCTACCTCCCCACAATCTGACCCTTTCCCCCATTCCCCATAGTCTCTGCCCCTCCGCCCACTACCCTCTTACTGTCAGATGCTGCTTGGACTCTATTCTCTCCCCAGAGCACAACACATGGAAGCCCAGTCCTTGCTGGCCCATGCAGCAGCAGTGGTGCTACTTAGTGGCTGAGCAGGGGATGGAGGTTCCCTTACTCCATGCCCAGGAAGGAATCCAGTCTGAGTTAAAGCTGAGCTGTACCTGACAGTAATGGGAAGGAGAGGGGTGAGGGGGAGGATAGGAGGGGGAGTGCACAGAAACTGTAGAGGGCAAGAGAAGGGAGGGGACAGGAAACTGCTGCTAGTCTGCCTCTGCCCCTGAGACTGGGTTGGAGCCAATCAGAGCTGCAGTAGCCTCCTGCCCACCCCTTCCCACCTGTTTGTATGTTAGTCTATAATGAGGGGCTTCCCCCCTTACTGATTGGGGAGGAAACCTTCTCTTAGATTTGAGTAAATATAGTATACATATTTAGAAATTCACGTGCAAGGCCAAAGTGAAAAATTGACATTGACGCAAACTAGCTTCAAGGCAGGGATCGGTTCCAGTTTGAGATCAGTCGCATGAGTGCCAAATAAGAACTGCAGAAGATTCTGCCCATTTTACATTCACTGGGCACTGGAGTGAGCCATTTCCCCAAGCCCTGCCTGTACTTAGTGAACCTATTATGTTACATCCTACCTTCAGTTAATCAGCAATGTCAACCATCAAAAGTCACAAGTCAGCCCCCAAAACAATGGCTGCCTATATACATACTCAGGGGCGGGGACAAAGGGGAAGTGTTTTTAATAAGAGCCGTTCCTGGACAGCTGCTCTAATTAAAGTGACACAGTCATGTATATTAAGCCCCTGCACATTTTTAAATGTCCATAGGACACCATCTAAAGCTCACTGAATGAGCTTTAGATAAAGAATACTATGGCCATTTAAGAGTTACACAGGGGCATAATACACATACTGGTGAGGTGATGTTGGAGTGTTCTAATTAGAACGTGGAGCAGGCTCAATAAATAGTCTGCTCTTGCGTGTTCCAATTAGAACATGAACAAACGCGTGTATAGGCATCCAATGTGATCATCTTAAGATTCATATGCTTGGAATTATTTACACCGATTTTCTAGCTTCCAAACTATTGATTTACACTAGCCTCATGTTTACCAGCTAGAAACATCCTTTTTTTCTGTTGACCAAGAGCTGTGATTTTTAAAAAAATGCCTCAGCTGTAGAAACTGAGGCTTTGAGGAAGATACCAAAATGTGGTATTGTGAGATTCTCTGTCATGTCACAACATGAGGAAATACAGGCCCAGCCTCCCTTGTCACTAGTATGAACAACACTGATATGTCCAAAGGTAAGTAGGGCCCATGGACTTACATAGCCTTGAAAATAATTTTCAGCATTCCTTTGATTTTTTTTTTTTCAGAAGTTGCAAAATATATCTATATTTGGTATCAGTTGTATGTATAAGCATATTCTGCAACTGCACATATGATTTGTTACTCTATAAAAGTGCATCTCGACCCTGCCTTCTGTCTGACTTTAGGCTAACATGGCTAACTAGTATTCTCTTGCTCTATAAATTTAAAAGTCCAAAAGGGCAGAATTGGAATTCAATAGGTATATCCAGAAATATTGCTGCCATTTTAAATATAGGGTAGGTCACCACTATAAGCCTGTACCAATAGAATACTATGGGTTACTGTAGCAGGTGGCTGGCTTGCTCAGATCAGTTCTTCAATCTAGTCCAAGTAACATATTATTTCTCTGGGACAGTGGGCAGCAATGTTTTTGGGCAGACTGCCAAAAATACCCACAGCCTCAGCATCTCAGCTGTAGAGGACTGCAAGGGACCTGATCCTTGTTGTGGCAGCACAGCACCAGCCTCTTCCCCATTATCTGGCTCAGTGTGTGCATACCAAGCAAAATGCCTTCACGTGCCACACACTAGCACCCATGACAGGGGTGGCCTACCCCTCTGCTGGGCTCAAAACAAAAGGCTGTAATGCCCTGGGTTCCTCCGCTTCCCAGGGCTCAGCTGAAAGCAAACAATCCCAAAGAACATTCCCTTACCCTGGTCCCAGCAACACAGACTTGAAAACTCCAGGGTTGATCTGTACAAAGGGGTTCAATTACAAATATCAAACAATCAAAAACAAACACGCCCAGCATAAGTTAGCGCTCACCCTACAATCTTCCTTCCTGAAGCCCTCTTTCTCCATCTAAACTTCCCCCTCTAGCTCCTCCCACTTATTCCATCTTTCTGTCTTTTATTGCTCATCAGCCAGTCACTTCCCCTCATTATTGCTAATTACCTGCCAAATGAGGCCCCTTACATGAAGTTTGTTGCCCACTGGCTAATTGAGTCAGACAGACAGCCTCCAGCCTGTTACAGTTACACTGTGATTTTTACATGAAATTTTAGGACACTGATAGCCCTAATATAGAAACAGGGGGATACCAGTGAAATAGTGTTTCCACAGATGAACTAGTGTTTCCACAGATGAACCTTATTTCATTCAGTGTATAAGCATAGTGAGAAAAAGCACATTTATGCCAACTGAAACTGCCTATAGGAAGAGGAATAAATCACCACAGCAGCAACTTACTTTTGAGTAAACTTTACTTTGTAGAAATTAGAATTATCATCAAAATAACAGACCCCAATTTAGCTAATCCTCCTTCACCATGTTTCATTCCTGTGTTGTTCTGTATCCTGATTCTTTGTTTCATATCCTCCAAGCAACACCTGTTAGGAAAACATGGTTTGCTAAAGGACAAATTGAGCTTGTTTATGGCAATCAAGGGCTTATTAAAAAAGATCAGACAAAAAGGTTTTTCATCAGAAAAGGTGGTTTCATCCAAATTGAGGATTTCCATGAGAAAATATCAATTTAGCTGATTTTTTCAAATTCAGAATGACCTATTGAATTCAAATGTCATTTTAAGTTAAAATGGCAAATCTAAACCAAATGGCTCATTTAGAATCAATATCGTGCTTCCACACCTTGATTCAAAATTACAAAACATTTCAATTTGGTAAAACTGTTGGAATTTTTTCCTTTCAGGATTGCTGAATCAAAAGGCTTTAGAACTTTTGATCTTGTGAAGCTTTTGGCTATTTCTTTCTTTTCCTTCCCAGCTCAAGACAAAAAAAAACCAAAAAACCAAAAAACACTACTGAACTATCCAAATTTCCCATGGGATAGAAAATCCACTTTTGCTACCAGCTTCTCAGGATGCATAAA